CCACATTTTTTTTATCGGGCGAAGATTTTTCTCAGAAACTATAAGAGATATTGACTTGAATCTTTGCGCATTTTGTTCCTTATTAAATTCTTTGGATTTTCTCCCACTTTCAGCCAAAAATATTAACATTTAACATTGTTTGAAGCACCTTAAAGTTGCAAAAAAGCGGGCTAAAAATCGCCTGTTTTTTCATATTGCCGCCATTTTGTTAATTTGCAAGATTTTTTGCTGCCAACGGGAGAAGCTCCAGAGAATCTTATGCAGATTATTAATTTCATCACGAAATCTGTTTCAGATGAAGCCGTTCCAGAGAAAAGTCTTCGCCCGTCCAGGCGTTTGCGGCGAACATGGGTCTGTTTGTCGCCATTTTGTGACGTCAATAATTTTTTTTTTTTTATGTCGAAAAAAATTTATTTGTAAACTTTAATGTTCAATAGACAAGAATCCCAAAGAGTTAGGCGCATTACTATTCATTTTCCTTTAAAAAAAATTAATTGAAAAACAGGCCGAAAAAAGGCAAAAGATTGGGAATACCCTCTTAACGAAATCTTTAGTTCGTATGTAGGGTAGAGAACTACTTCGACCTAATCGCCCATTTTGGGCCTATCGAGCAGAAAACTTCAAATAAATCCATGATTTCAGAGTTAACAAGTCAATTATGCGTTTGGTCCGATACTTTAGTTAATAAGCTACCGAACGAAGTCAATGAGAACGCGTGATATGAAGGTTTGCACCTATTATTCCCAAAAACAAAAGAAGCGCTCCGACCGAATCAATTCTTATCTTCATCCGATAGACCGAAGTGAATTCATTGGCGTTTCAATGCGTTAGGCCAAGTTTAGAATCCGTAGGCCGAGTTTGGCGTCAAGAAGACTGTTGGACTTTTGGCAATATCTCAACGATTGGTTTCTCTTTATCAAATCTTATGGTACGTACGGTAAGTTAAATAAATTTGAAAGCCATTAGTAATACACTGAAACCTTCGTTTACGAAGTCTTTTTTACGCAGTATTCAATTTACGTCCCTCTTTTTACGAAGTAAATCCCAAATAACGAGTTTTTTTTTTGATTTTGAGAAACTGGGATATACTGTGAAATACCCCACAATATGGGTATTTTTGGAATCGGAGTGACGTGTAGAGACCGGAAATCAATGTCTGATGCCATTTTTAAATCCAAGATGGTAACTTCCGGTTACATAAGAACTTGGAAATTCTGCCCAATACCCCAGAATATGGGTATTTTTGGAATCGGAGTAACGTTTAGGGGCCGGAAATCGATGTCTGACACCATTTTTAAATCCAAGATGGCGGCTTCCGGTAAGAGAAAAGCTTGGAAATTCTGTCACATACCCCACAATATGTGTTTTTTTTTTAAATTGGAGTGCCGTGTAAGAACCGGAAATTTATGTCTGACGCCATTTCGAAATCCAAGATGGTGGCTTTCAGTTACAGAAAAATTGGCGAATACCACCACATCACCCCGATTCTTAAAATACCCATATTGCAGGTTATTTAAATTTACTTTTTATATTTTATTTAATGGGAAGTCGCCATATTGAATTTAAAAATGGCGTGAGACATGGGTTTTCAGTCCTAATAAGTCACCCCGATTCCAAAAAACCCATATTGTGGAGTATTTGACAGTATTTTCCAGTGTTTCTGTAACCGGATGTCACCATCTTGGATTTCGAAATGGCGTCGGTCATGGTTTCCCGGTTCTCACAGGTCACCTCGATTCCAAAAATATCCATATTGTCGTGTATTTAACGGTATTTTTCTGTTTTCCTGTAACCGGAAGCCGCCATTTTGGATTTCAAAATGGCGTCAGACATCGATTTCCGATCCCTACACGTCACTCCGATTCCAAAAATACCCATATTGTGGGGTATTTAACAGAATTTCCAAGTTTTTCTGTAACCGGAAGCCACCATCTTGGATTTCAAAATGGCTTCAGACATCGATTTCCGGTCCCTATACGTCACCCTGATTCCAAAAATACCCATATGTGGGGTATTTGACAATATTGGCAAAAACCTCATTTTACGAAGTTAACGAGTTTTCTTTTTACGAAGTAAATCCCAAATAACGTGGTTTTTTTTTACGAACTAATTCGATTTACGAACCCCCGTTTTGGTTCGTAAATGGAGGTTCCAGTGTAATAACATTCCGTTTGGTGCTAAGCTGCGGGAGATAAAGGAAGACTAAGTGCGGGTTGTGCTTAATAGGCCAGAAATGGAGCAACCCTACATGTTTGATCAAAATTCTAAAACATTGTACTGCGCATTTTGCACCTTAGTAGACTCCTGAGTTGAAATTATTTTCTCAGTCACGATCCCTCATCTCACCCACAGGCGTGCATGCTTTGATCGTTTTTACCCTTCTTACAAAGAAGGGTATAGATATCACTTGAAAACCCGACTATCGATCCGAGGCCCGGAGGGCCGAGTGTCATATACCATTCGACTCAGCTCGACGAGATCGGAACATGTATGTATGTGTGTGTGTGTGTGTGTGTACGTGTGTATGTGTGTATGTGTGTGTGTATGTAACGAAGTGAATGCGCTCACGTTTCTCAGCAACCGCTCAACCGATTTGGACAAACTCGGCGCCAAATGATAGGTCTTGGGGTCCCATTGAACGCTATTGAACGGTTTTGGAATCGGTGAACCGGTTCCGGAGATATGGCCGGAATAAGATCCGGTGAATATGGGTCTTCACGCTGGATTTAACGGAAAACGTATCAACACCATCATGCGACACATCAAATTACTACAGAATTCAAAAATAAGATCAATGCAAGTCGTGTTAAGTGTTCCAGACCACATTGGACACACTTGGACTTGTTCCGGGTACCCCGGAGAAGTTGCTTGAAAATGAATTGAATTAAAACCCATTAAATCACATTAAAATACGATGATAAGGTGATTGGTAGCCTCACCAAATAGACTACACCCGGATATATTCCGGGTACCCCCAGACAGTGGCGTAACGTCACTGGATGACACGGGGCTGGGGGGCTTGGTCACTGATAATGACAATAAAATAAATAAACTTGAATAAGTAAGAAGGGTCTGATCACACCATAGGTGGATAAATTTGGGTTTTTTTTTTATTTGTTTTGATTATTTTCCACTTACGCGCTTGTCAAATTGTATTCAATTTTTTTTTGTTTTTTTTTTCCTTTGGTTTGTTTTTTCCGTCGATCTTGTTTTCCGTGCTGACCACCAATGCTACCGACGTGCCAGGAAGGCAGCTCCCAAGTTGTGACCTTCTGAAAGCAAAATTGACAAATTTTATATGTCATACACAAACTTTACCACCTCTTCTTGCATCTTTCAAATAAAAATTATCATTATAGTATTTCATTGTTTCATAATTACGAAAAATAACATTTTAGCTGTAACGAGCAATTGCAAACCTGGACGTTATTGCTTTTGTAAACAGTGGCTATAACCGTCAATTTCTCGCAAATTAAAGCTCATCCCTCCAAATTAACAATGCTAGCTGGTAGAGGAAACATTCTTCTATTTTTTGGTTTCATTAATTTTCATGTGTGAGATTTTATTCGCGAGAAATCGACGGCTAAGCCATTGTTTACCAAAGCAATTACGCCCCGTTGAAATATTGACACTGATTTGTTTGCTTTAAATTTGTTAATTTACTTTCAAGTGTTTATCAAATTATCATTTGTGTTGAGGCGTCCAGTTCGTTAATCCAGTAGAACAGATTCGGAATTCAAGGCAAGATTATCAAGGACAGAAAATAAACAATACGAGTAGGTGGCAGAAAAAATCGAGACAACAAACTGCATGAAACAAGTTTTGGTAAAATTGTTTCAAATTTTTCATAAAAGTTAGATCCAAAACATAAAATTTAGATCCAAAAAAATAGCAATGCCCTAGAGTTTTGATAAGTTTTCTATCGCAAGGCGGTAAAATTTTTCAAATGATTAAAGCAATCTTTGTCCTGGATCTCAAAAGTCCTATGTGGAAGAGGATTTCAGAAGAGTCCTATTGTTTTCTTATTATAAAAATTTCTGAGTTTATTCATTCATTGTATAATATTCTGTCCAATTACCCATTCGCCTTGCAATATTCAAAATTAGGAATGCGACAATAAAAATATTTAAAATTTCGGGCTTCAAAAATTTATCTAAATCACAATCTATTTTCTTCATCTGAGATGTTTTCCAGTTGTGTATCTTTAGAAAAAATGACGCTCCTTTTTTACAACAACATGTATTGCTGAAATCAATCATGCTTTATCAAATTTTGCTGTTTATATAAATCCAAATAAAAACGTGATGAGCACCCGGGAAATATTGATTCCATTTGAATAGCTTTATGTTACCAGGCTTTAGCGATCGTGAGTCACTGTGATGAAAGAAGCTCGATGGCCTAGCAGCTGCCGATTTTGCTTACTGAGCATAATATTGTGGATTCAATCCCATTTTTTTTTTTTGGATCATTCCTTTATTTTTAAGTGCGCAAAATTGAAAATCTATGGATCAATTTAATTAATTTATGTTCATTTTTGAACTTTCTATGGATCATTCGTAATGTGTTTATGGGTAAGGTTTTTTTTTATTTGATAATTTTATAATTTTTATGGATCATTTATTAATTTATATAGGCAAAAGTATATTTGGAACCTTAATTTGAGGATTTATTCGAATACCAAATTAAAATGAATTGTTCATTTCATTAACTACGTAGACAGCTTTTTTTTATTCTTGCCCCCCCCCCCCATTGCGTAGACAATTGTCCAAACATTTTTTTAAAATTTGTATGGGCCGTGGATAATTCTCAACCCCCCCTTAACTGTATACGTAGTTTATGGACAGCCGTAGTTCTACGTCAACAATGCGGTCGTGCCTTGGACACTTTTTGCTTTGTCTTTGATGTGTGTTGAACTTTGAACACTGTTGCTATTGTTACTGTGCTTGAATGTGATTATGTTCCTTTTATAAATCCCGCTCTTTGTTTTCCTCCACCCACAGATGTTTAGTATCTAAATTATTCGACGTCTGCTCGAGCAGCACGCTGGAGGAGATGGAACAGCAGGACGAGGTGAAGGTGGCGTGGGGAATGGGAATCGCGGGCCACGTGGCCGAAAGCGGAGAACCCGTCAACATACCGGATGCTTACCAGGTGAGTACATGCGAGGAGTTTTTCAGTTTTTTTTTTTCGAGTGCTCATAAAACACCATGCTTGTAAAGAAAGCAATGTCGGTAGAAGAAGTTCATTTGTGCTCGGTTTATGTGCTGTTGAATATTCTAGTATTTTCAACGAAATGTAGCAGTGTTATTATTTTGTGCAAAATTGATGAAGAGATTTTCCCGGAATTTTCTCTAAGCGCCAACTTTTTTGCTAATTGGATCATTTTTCAAAGGCCTCCGCCACCTTCCGTGAAAAATTAAAACAATCGCCTCATTTTGCAAACACAGCCCAGGAAACCGGCGTTGAAGGTATAATCAGCAGCTACGCCACTTTGAGCGAAGACAATAAAAGTAATTAGTCTGGGCCAAGAGACAGGCTGGAACCCGAACCTGCTCTTCGATGTTGTCAGCAGTTGACTGAAGATTAGCCACCGATGGAGATAATGAGGGTGGTAGGGGGTGAGTTGTGTTTCCAGTCAAAAATTAAAAGCAGCTCATCTTGCTGCGCTTCACTACGTTCTGGATCCGATTTCCCTGCGACGACAATTTGTTCAGAAGCGTATCTTGTTGCGGAAAGCAGAATTTCTTAATTTTATAAACTGTTTATTAACTTACAACGCCCTACCGACTGAAAACGCACCCAATGGAAAGGATGATAGCCGAGTACTTTTGTTCCGAAACAGTGGGTGCAAGCTTGGTGAGCTTTGTCGGTGCCGAAAGGGAACGGAAAACGTTATATTTAACGAGATTAAAAAGTTGAATTATAAGCCGGCTTTCCCAACTTCATAACATGGTTCTGATGGTTGTATTTCGGAAAGGGCACCTGACTCAGCTTTCTCTCTCTCTCTCATCTATTCTGTTACGGTGTTAGTTAGACGAAAACAGCTCCCATTAGCACTAAACTTGCCTACAACTATCAGCAACTAGCTGCATAATTTATCATGTAAGCTTCAGCTGTCATTTTCCTGTACTACTGTGACACTGAAACATGCTATATATTTTTTATGTGGGGACAGACGAAATGAAATTTCATGTAAAATTCATCGCACTTCTTCAACACTCCCACTGGGGATCCATTTTTCGTTGCTTCATAGATATTGCACCACAAATACAAAACCTTTTGTTTTTTTTTCAATGCGCTTCTAAACTGCTAACAGCCCCTCTCGTGAAACCAATTTAACAAAAATTGATATATGCGGCATCATTTGTTCAACCAAGCGTAGCAGAATGCAAAATCATCCTAGTGAAAGCTACTATGGCTTATCCTTCCCAAGACAAACAAAAACAAGCCTGTTGCGTCGCAGTTCGCAGTCTGTCCCTTCCCACTTCGGACGGAATATTTCATTGCCAAATTAGACGTCGATCATTTGTCTTGTCATAGCTCCGGGAAAATTTCGATGGCGTCGTGCATTCAATTAGAAGGCGCTAACATGAAAACACCCATCCGCCGTCCGACCCATTAGTAAGAAATATTACCATTTCAGGGAAACTTTTTAAAAGAAACTGACAGCCGTAGCATGCTATTAAAGCTGCGGTTGTCAAATAATCTGACACCAAACGCTAATATTCTCTAAATAGGCGGTTAATACTTGAATTGATCAAAATTGAACCTACCAAAATTTAATAACATTTTTACTCGCCGTCAATCGAATAATCCATTAAAAAAAAAGTATTAATTTCATTTCATATGCGCTCCCGTCGGATCAATGACGACCAGGATGGACGGTTCAACCGGGAAATCGACGTTCAAACTGGTTACCGTACAAAGGCACTGCTCTGCATGCCCATCAAGGACGCGTCCGGCGATGTGGTCGGGGTTGCCCAGGTTATCAACAAGCACGGAGACCAGCGCTTTTCCGTGGCCGATGAGAAGGTAAGTTGAGTGGTGGTATTTTTTTTTTTGTTTTGCCTTTATTCTAGAGACTTTCAGCCGTAGGCTGGTTCGTCTGTTTGGTTAATCGGTGAGCAGTTCCAGGCAAAAAAATAGAATTTATGACACGACTATATACGATTTTCATGAAGCTTTGCATAATTGATACGGGCAATCATTCACGTTTGTGCTAAAATTCGGTCATGTTGAATCTTGATATTTTTGACAGCTCAATATACCTGTACATTTTCTACCTTGTTCGACTCTTATTCCTCTTCGATCCTCGCTTCGATCCTTGTTTGGACCCTACTCAAGGTGATCCTGCTTGGAAATCGATTAATTTCTTCTTTGATCTATCGGATTCTTATAGTAATCCGCTTGGAAGTCGATTTGGATAAATGTTTTACTGCCACTATGGCGCCTAAGCGCAAAAGGAAAGGGCAATCTCTTGATCTCCCTTCTGACGAAATTAATTTGAGCAATCAATTTGATTTGGTCATGGATGATGAGAATGATCCATCATTCAGGAAAAAATCTAGTTAACTTTCCCGGCTTAATGCCAAAAATGAAAAGATTCCCCCTATTGTGATAACCACTTCCGATTTCCGTGCTCTTCGCACGGAACTTTTGAACTTCTTGAAATTCAAGTTTTCCCTGTAAATTGGCGGCCGGGGTGAATGCCGTGTATTGGCTGAAACCTTGGACGGATTCAAACGTCTTCTCAAGTATCTTACTGAGAAGCAGCACAAATTGTTTACTTACGACACCAAAACTGAACGAATGTTCAAGGTTGTCATGAAAGGTCTGCCCAGTGGTGAATCCCTGGATCAGATCAAAGTTGAACTGGAAAAATTACTTGGAGTTGTGCCACTCCAAGTAATCAAAATGAAAATTAAATCCCGTCCTGGCGATTCATGCAACGGGATTTCTAATGATTTTAATTTAGTTCACTTCAAGTCTAGTGAACTAAACAACCTTAAGGCCTTGGAAAAAGCTATGTAGCCTTATGCTCCATGTCCGAGTAAAGTGGGAACACTTGAGGACATTTCCAAAACCTCATCCAGTGCCGTAAGTGCCAGGGATGGGGTCACGACTCGCAAAGCGATCCTACAATCTCGTTCTAAGCGACAGGTAGGAAACACTCCACGTTCCCGACCTGGTACAAATTCCTCTGCTTTTAACAACGGTCAGCGACGAACAAATTCTACAGGTACAAATATCACCCCTGCTACTAATTCTTCATCTATACCTGCTCACCTCGCTGCAAACAATGTTCAGCGAGTAAATGGTGCGAGTAAAAATCAAAATACTAGTAAAAATAGTTCTAACGGAAATTTCGACTTAGGTAGCATTACTGCTACTAAAATGGAATTTTTACAGAATTCATCGGCATAGATAAGCATTTTTTTTTTTGAGAATGAAGGAAATGTCTTTTACATACAGAATATAAAGAAGAGGTCCCAAATGAGAGCCTTGAGGGACTCCTGAGGTGACTTGAATTGAGGTCGATTTCTTTCCATTGAATTTAATTATTTGTTGGCGGTTAGTTTAATATGATTCAAGCCATTTCAGGAGTCCTGGCTCGATTCATTTTTTTTTTTTCAATTTGAGGAGTAGCATTGATATGTCAATTCGGTTAAATGCCTTGCTAAAGGCCGTATAGAGGACTTCTACGTGGTTTTCATTATCCATTGCATTTAATGTATTGTCTATAATTTGTCGAGGTCGAACGTCCTTTAATGAAGCCATGTCAGTATTTTTTTTTTTTTTTTTTTTTGAAGGAATAACTTTTCATTTACAATTGCCTCGAAAAGCTTTGGAATTCAAGAGATAATGGCTATTCCACGATAATTACGTACGTCAGCTTCCGACCAGATTTGAAAATAGGTTCTAAAATGAGCTTTTCCATATTTTTGGAAAGGTTCCGGATTCCAGTGACATATTTAAAAGCCAAAACAATGTAGTAGTGAGTTCCATTGCTAGACTCTTTAAAAATACTGGAGGAATTCCGTCCGGTCCAGGACTTTTTGAGGTGTCTAAATTCTTTGAAGCCTGCCAAATTATTGAAGTTGATTGACACCAATGTGTCTTGAAAATTCTGGATAAAATGCAAAATAATCGCGGTCTTGATTTCTTGAAAAACTACAAGGGACAGCCTTATGGGGTTGTACATAATGGTGACGTCTCCTTAATAAAGATATAAAAAAAAAAATCTTTTTTGTTAACTGCAGCAGGAGTTTGTGTTTTGTGTAGGAATAGGAATTTGAGCGGGGTTCTCTCTGTATATACTCTTTAGTATGACGCGCTTGACATAGATGGCCCACAGTGACTCACGAAGAGCTACTGATTGCGATCAAAAGCGGTGCGGCTTCTTCCTCCTTCTATGGATGCTCATGTGGGCTGCAGTTCGCTGCTTGCAGGCAGCCTTTCGTTGTGTACTGGAGAACACCACAACTCACCACGCGGTGATTGAATAAACACCGTTTGGTGAGACCGGATGGAATTCAACTTTGAAATCTGTGTTAGGGAAATCGCTTTTCGCAGGCAATCGGTGATAATTTTAATTATCATAGCAACAGTTGCACATTCGTGCAATTTTCAATAGTGACATTTTGAAAAATGATAAAGTCTTAATTTTAACAGAATCGTAGAAAAAATCTATTCGATTGGCGTACAGACCACTTTCAGGCCGCGACCCCAATTTTGCCTTCAAGAACATGGTTTGTTAGATTTAAACATATCTAGATAGAGCTGGAAATAGGCGTATCAGCTTTTGTAAACAATGACTTCTCTCGATGATTTTTAGGAACTCAAGGAACACCCACGTACGTCGACATTACCGTCGGGTAGGGGAAGTCTTACTCTACCTGATGGTGATGTTGATTTGCGTGGGCGAGACATAACTTTCAAGACATCATCGAAAGAAGTCATTGTTTACGAAAGCTTTTACGCCCTAATTCCAGTTCTATCTTGATTTAGGAACTGTCATACGATTGATGACCTTGACAAACGTCCAAAAATACTCTTTTACAAATTTATGGTGGTCGTTTTGTCGTGATGGTTGAGTAATGCTTAGCTATTAGGGTGTTAAACACATATGAGTCTGGTGAGCTGTATGTTGTTTGGAATGATGGTTTCACGCTTGGCATAGATGGCCCACAGTGACTCACGAAGAGCTACTGATTCCGATCAATGACGGTTGCGGTTTCTTCCTCCTTCTATGCATGCACATGTGGGCTGCAGCTCACTGCTTGCTAGCAGTCTTTCGTTGTGTACTGGAGAACAATGTTCAACGCCACGCGCCGGAAGCACTGCTGCTGATGCCGACGACAACACACCACCACACACGGTGAATGGAACTGAATCCGATCAGCGGTTGAGGCCAGTCTTGATAGCTAGCTGCTTGCGGGGAGCTTTCTGTTGTGTCCTGGAGAACACCACCACTCACTACTCGAGCAAAGTCCAGCATCAAAATGACAGCAAATTGAAATCAAGTTTTGATATCAACATCAAACTGAGATCATGATTTGATTTCAGTTTACGCAATTGACAAATTTGATATCAAATTTTGTTTTCATGTTGCTGTACATTTTTTCTTCAAAAATATGTTGTTGCGGGTTTGTTTTCATTGCCTTAGCATAATAAAATTGATTACGTGTTTTGTTATCAACCGGAAAAATTGATAACAAATTTAATTTTCAGTTTGCTTTCACTGATAGCAGAAATAGTTTTCAATGTGATGTCACAGGAAGATTTGTTTGCTCTCAATTTTGATATTTTAACCGTTAAAACGGTCAAAACGACAGCAACTTGAGCAATCATTATCAGCGAAATCACAACATCAAATTTAGATTTCAATTTGATCTCAGACTTTGCTCGGGTAAACACCGTTTGGTAAGACCGGATGGAATTCAACTTTGAAATCTGTTTTGGGGAAATCGCTTGTCGCAGGTAATGGGTGGTAAAATTATTGAAATTGGTCCAGGGGCAGCTGAGTTATTAACGTTCAAAATCTTTCATCATTTTGTTACATGTTCCATTTTCAGTTTTCACAAAGTGTACCCCCATATAGAAATCACAGACGTAGTCCTACGTCAAAAAAATTGCAAAAAGATTACAATATTTTCCGAGCTATCCCCGACACGTTCATCAAGATGCATTATTGATGGAAAATTGTCAGATTTTAATTTGGTTTTTACGCAATCGAAGAAGTTCTTTGGACTGGACTTTATTTCAAGTTCAGTTTTGGATTAAATTCTTCAAATGCATTACTGATGGCTTAATCCAGTTGATCGCATATGTCCAAATAGATAGCCAAATTTTCACTATTATTGTGTTTTTTTTTGTAATGTTTATGTATTTTCTGTTTTCGATTTTTTTAATTTGTTTTATTTCTCTGTTATACTAGACTGGATTTATAGTGCTTCTGAAGCGTCTTTTTTTCTTTAAAGGTATTTCTTCCGAAATTAATCCTGATAAAATTTGATAAAATATGTCTACAGCAGTTTCGACATTTCCTTCATTCCTTAGAATTATTTGCCAATTGACGGTGTTTAATTTATGTTTGATTTTTTCGTAGTCTGCTAATTTGTATTCATTGATGTATTCGTGCACAAATAAAGAATATTCAATTGCTAAGTGAAACGCTTCGTTTTTTCACAATGGGTTTAATGGTTCGGTCACACAGAAATCTTCGTAAGCAAGAAGTCTAAATAGCAATTTAGTTGGTTCTTAATGTGATTGATTTGGTTCAATCCTAAATTTGCAGTTTTGTCGAAAATGAACTGCAATGTTTCATTATCCCCAACGACTGGGAGTAAGATACTGTAGGAACGTAGGCCGACGGTTTTAGTGGGGGTTCTTTCGGACAGATAGTAAACTATCGCGTTTGGTTGTCTATACTATACTAAAATTATATTAACAAAGATCGGGTGTCGTGAGACGAATGGATAGTGTATGATGTAGTGTTTGTGGAAATACAAGTTACATAACTGATTTGATAC